ATAGGCACACGTTGAAATATCTGTTTTATTAATGAACCACTAAAGAGAGGTTCAGACACATACATGTACCAAAACATGTCAAGTTTCTCCAAGGCTGAGAACATATATGCAGCCTGTACTTTTTAATAAAAACTGATTTTTAACAGAGTTTATGTATTTGTGATCATACTGTGTGACCTGCTTGTATGTTCTTACACAATAGGTGTACTGTTCTCTCTCTGTGTTGTCTCAGTGTGAACATAGATTAAACAGCCAGCCAAACTCTTTTGAGAGCCAGGGAATGAGCAGCCATGCTCCTTTATTGACTTATTTGCAGTCCAGTGACATTCAAACGGAGTGAAACTATAAAAAAATAAGTTACAAGGCACTTAATGATCTCATACATGCAAGTGTAACATACACAGATGAACACATTAGGACCGCTTAGTGTAAACAAGGTAAACATAGCTAATGCTAGCTGTACAATAAGCATGTATACAGGCTAGTATGGCTAACGCTAGCATGTATGCTAACGCTAGCGCGAATGCTAACGCATTTTCTCATTGAGTTTAAACATCTCCTCCACATGTCATCACATAAACACAATACATGTTACTAATCCTTACAGTGTAGGCGTAAGGCTCACACTTACACTTACAGTCATTGCTTTCTGACGGACTTGACCCTTTTACTCTTCAGGTTGCATAGGGAAAATTAGTGGCAGTGTACTCATGGATGTCTATACTGCCATTATATTCCGTTCACGTTCTCCTACTTCCTGTACCCGGGTCTAACCTTCAGTACACATTTTACAAAAATATAAATGTGCAAATATGAAACATACGTCAATATCCCCAAAACATATTATAACATATAAATACCTAATTTTGAGTTATTTAGACACAATTAACACTTATAGTTTCATGTCTTGTTCCATAAGAATAGATCATATTTGTTAAGTGTTATTATGGGAGAATTACTATTCTTGTGCTACTACTGCCTTATTACGCCCATATTAAGCAGCGCATATTAAGACCAAAACTCATGTACAACAACTTCCTTACTTGCAAGAAATAAGCACTAATTAGAGTGTTATTGAGGAAAAACTCTCAACTAATGGCTTATTACTTGTAGAATATGCAGAATACGGCATTAATAAGTGTTGTATAATGACTAATAGAGAGCCATTATACTGCTAATATGCATGCTAATTAACAACTAGTTGATGGTTAATTTGTGTACCTTAATATAAAGTGTTACCAATTTTTCTAATTTAATAAAAATAATAATAATCATTTTCAGAAAAAAAAAATAACACATATTTCTTGGGGGTGCTTAGTGGGTGCTTCAGCAATCCTGGGGGGTGCTTCAGCTCCCCCCTGGCGCCGCCCCTGCAGGTGGCGCCGGCAGCTGTGGCCGTTGTTGAAGCCTCTTCAGGCTCCGCATCAGCAGGCCTCTCCCTCGGTGTGGAGTTGTCAAACTCGACCCTAACGCCGCTTACAGCCGGTGAACTAAAAGTTGTTCTGTTCACGTTGTCATTTTTAGACACCTTCGCTTCTTTGCTTGTGAATCCAAAAGCTGCGAGGCTTGGCTGTTTTCGTTTCGCCATATTTTTTATTACAAAGCCAGAGTTAAAAAAATATCAATATGAAAATGTAAAATACCGTGCCGGCATCGCCACCGTAACCATATCAACGTAAGTAGCGTAAAGAATGCAGCGCCGCCACGTACAGATGGCAACACCCAGAAATATTCACAAATATAAAACAAATATTCAGAAACTGTAATGAACAATGACTATTATTTATTTCAAGAACTTGTATTTACAGAAACTCAACATTTCTAATCTGTGTGTATATGCACGATTTTTTTTGGGCTCCCCCTATTTATCTCAAAGTCGGCCTTCAGGGGAGCTTCCCCCCTTTTTAGGGGAGCCAAGCTCCCCCTGGCTACCCCCATTTCGAACACTGCTTCCAACACAATGGTAGGGGAAGGGAATTGTGTGCAGTTCAAAACATGACATTTTGTATGCGTATTTTGAGAAATATGGCCACAGATACTGTGTTTTATCGAAATATCTTTGGGGCTATAAGACAGTTCTCAAAAAGAATTTGAGCCTCAATGCAATATGAAAAAATAGCTAGATTTGGCTCCAAAACATCCCCTCTTCTAGGACAGATTCACATACCTCGCCCTCATTAAGATGATTTCTGCTGTTGCCTTGTTTTCTGCCATTAAAGTAATTATTCACAGTCTCCACACACTTCTGGCTTCTTTCTATATTAGGCTTTTCTCACAATCCGTCCACTCTTCCGCAGGTCCTTTCCTCCTCTGTCTAGCCTGAACGACTGGGTGCTCGTCCTCCAGGCTCCCTGACACACCCGGGCGCTGTAGAGAAAAAGGTTCATGTAATTAAAGCTCAAAGAAACATCTCATAATGATCTCGAGGAGATTCTTTAAATCTCCCCTTTTAGGCCATCGTAAAATTAAGAAGAACATTCAAGGAAAACATTTTTCAAATATACTTTTCTAAACCTGTTCAACTACCTCTGGGTCTGGACTTTATAACTGTACTACTGCATACAATGACATTTTAGACAAGGAAGGATAGACATTAGTGAGCTTCTAAATGTGTGGCAAGGGGTTATGGGCCCTATAATGCTTATTTTCATATTTCATATTTGTGCCTATACTGATAGGCTACATGTTTACATGCTTTAATGTTCAAAAAGGTCTCTATTGTTCTGCCTGTGCTGCAGCACCTCTTTTTCTCCCTCTGTCTGAAACCAGAGCCCAGTCTGCTGATTAGTTAGCTGTCTGCTTCTTTGGCAATTGGTCAAGCGATTAGAGATACGCCGCCCCCCTTGGCCTATCATCTTGGCCTATTACCTAACATGTGTTGGAGTGCTGGCCAATATAAGTGTGAGTGTTGATGTCATGTCACTATATGTTAAGGGAGTAAACAAAGGAGTCCAATGGAGGCGTTTCAGGGAGTGTCTGGGAGAGAAACTTCCTCTGGAGGGAACTTTGGGATTTTAGCCTTTGCAGACCATTTACATGCACAAAAAACCTATAGAACTAGGGTTACAAATGGTTTCGTTTAAGAGGTATGGCTATATGTCACAATAACTCATGACCTTCATTTAAACACGGGCAACTGCCTCCTAAAGTCCTGAGTTGTTTGACACTTATATCAACCCGAAACTCATCTTACTGGAACATTCTTTTATAGAGTTCCTTATTATCTGTATATGAATGATTAAATCACTTCCTGGATTTTTTCCAGGGGCATTTCTGAAAGACTTGCTCGGGTGAGCACGTTCCACATCATCATACATTTACTTATGTTTATTATATTTCTAATTCACATCTAATACCTGCTTTGTCAAAATTATGCTGTTTCAAAAATGTCCTAATTTGTGATGAATAACGTATATGTTATCTAATCAATAGCCGCTACTTCTGAATGAAACCATTTTTAAATCGCGTACATGCACACGCAGGCACACTCACCTTGATCTGAGCAGAGGTCCAGCTGCAGGTTTGCGGGGCTTGCTGCTCTGTCTACGGTACTGCATCCAGCCGCAGAACAGCTCGTGCGCGATCATCACGTACAGCAGGAAGATGAGCACCGCAGGATCCATTCAGCCGCATGCACGCGCCGCTGGATGAGAACCGGGTCGGTGCAAATCAGAGACTCCAGGATCCAGATGAGACCAAACAGCACCGGGCTGTAGACGGGTGGCGCTCTGGTGCAGAGATCAATGATGAGGATGATGAGGAAGACAGGGTCCTCGTGGGCAAGCTGCCACGTGTCCACTCCAACTTTAAGCACTCAAGTCGCGAGACACTTGCTGCGGTGGGCATCCTCTAAAATCACCAGATAACCGAAGAGAACACGCTGTTTTTATTTCGCGTTTCATTGACAACCGAGAGTCGCGGTGGTGACTGCAGAGGGGACACCGGAGGATGTTGCCGTAGAGACGCGACCGTTGCTAAGGATAATATGTCGTCATCCCCTAAAGATGAACGAGGCACCATTCATCCTCTAACCATTGATTACTTGCATCATCAATAAATAAAAAATCGTCAATCGTCATCAACGTTGGGAAAATGTTAGTATATCAACACATTGTAACTCAGTAAATCAAGACAGTCTTTTAATTCAAATCGACAAAACTAGAACATATTTATGAAATGTTTGAGCATAACAAAATCCAAATTGTGTGGGTTGACATTGATAACTGACACATAAGACTGAGGGAGATTTTTTAAATTAAGATTATTAAAATCGTGAAGACAAATATTCATCCTCAAACAAAATTACCTACATATTTTAGAGAATATGAAATTCGTTATTTAAAGAATAAAAAAAAACCTAATAAGTTAGTTATTTTCCCAAAAGATCAACATTTCGTAAAAAAAGATACTGATGCAGTTTTTCAATGCTAAACTTTAATTCAGTTATGTTCAGAGATCAATTATATCCTTTTTTCCATGTTATCCCTCAAGCAAATCAAAAAGAATAAATCAGTCCAACACACTTTTTCGATACTGTAGCATCATGAACTTTCTCCATGACCTTTACTTTTTACAAATTTCACCAGTCTGTTTAAGTTCTTCTCAATCTCGTAAAATGGGCACTCCACATCTTTCGTTAAGGTAGGGGGCCTTGTGAGAGACAGATTAATACATAACTATTAAATGTTATTCAAGCTTTATTTCTCCAAATGCAACTTCTGTCTTTCATGATTTATCCCTCATTACCTCATAAACTCACATTTCTTTCAAGCTCCATGCCCCAAGTCCCTGCTTCCTCACAGATCCAAGCTGGATGCTAAATCTCTACGCAACCATTTTTGCCAATATATAGGACATGCCAAGTCTTGATTTACAGAACTTATTTCTGTCCACAACACCTGTCTGCAGGCAAAGAGCGTTGATCCTCGAGGGCTCCATCAGATCTGAGCCAGCAGCACCGATTAGACCTTCATTCATCATGGTTTGTGTGTGTGTGTGTGTGTGTGTGTGTGTGTGTGTGTGTGTGTATATGGGTCGTGCCAGGGCAACACAAGCAGTTCTTCTGCTGTGATATCACCTTATTTTCACAAAGCCACTGTAACATGGCAGGGCCGCCACTGCTTCACACCTCATTCTCTCTGGCAGAGAACTGCAGAAACACAAAGAAGAAAAGTTGACCTGTCAGTGAGCACAACCACTTAACTTTAAACCTGTTGGTAAACAGTCACATTTTTGTCTTCGTAAAGACCCTACTACAGAAAGGAGGCAAGTGAAAAAACAACTGGTGCTTCATTTTTTGATCTTAATATTTTGTAAAAACAGGGGAACAAAATGTTTTGCAAGCATAATCTTTCTAAATTCCTAATAAAAATGTATTTTCGTCTGTGAAATGCTGAAAAACGTAATCAATTGCTAAAACACACATTATTAACTAAATATTAAGTAAGGAACTTGGGAATATGATCCTGACAAACCCTTTACTACACCAATTTAATTTTCACTGCCCTCCCAGGGCTTTCGTACAATTTCACTAGCATGTACAGATTAGACAGATAATAATAGCTTAGATTTATATAGCGCCTTTCATGAGACCCAAGGTCGCTTTACAAAGAAGAACAGGAGTAGGAACAAACATAAAAAAAACAAAAAGGCAGTCAGACAAAACAACAAATAGATTAGGGGCCAAAGGCCTTAGTAAATAGATGGGTCTTGAGGGCCCTTTTGAAGGCGTCAAGCGTGGGGATGTTGCGGATCTCCGCAGGGAGAGCGTTCCAGAGGGTGGGGGGCTGCCACACTGAAGGCTCTGTCCCTGATGGTTCGCAGGTTGGTGCGGGGGGTGGTAAGCAGGCCAGAGTCTGAAGACCGCAGGTTCCGGGGTGGGGCATGTGGGCGGAGGAGGTCCGATAAGTACTGGGGGGCATGGGCATGGAGGGACTTGTAGGTGAGGAGGAGGATTTTGTATGAGATGCGGAACTTGACTGGCAACCAGTGGAGGTGGATGAGGGTGGGAGTATACTCATTCCACATACTTTCAGGTAGAGACTTCATTCCAACTTTAAAATTATCACAAGACCTTCAGCTATAAAACTTGTTCTTCAGATTTTTCATATCTTTTACACTTTGAGATATTTAACTTAGTTTGGAGCTTGGTATAGAGGCCTTCTTCAGATTTTAACATTAGTGTGTATTGCGCAGCTCGTTAAGGTTAGAGTGCGTGATGTCCCAGCTAGAGTGGAGGAGAGCACACTTCAGACGCTTAGGGTCCTTGACATGCTTCACGCGTTGACATTTCACCGAAAGCAGCTACCATTTTTAAACTATAGTTAGAAATGTAAGAGGTTTATTTCTCATTCAAAACAATGGAAAGGCTCTCCTTTCACAGCACATCTCCATGGAACCCTTTGATCTCTGGGCTCACTACACAGGTGTTTGATAACGTCGTCACCATGGTAACCTTTGATCTCTGGGCTTACACACACAGGTGTTTGATAACATTCATACTACTTACTAGGGATGCACGATATTGGGTTTTTGAAACCGATACCGATAACTTCCTGCTTCTCAAGACCGATACCGATACCAATAACCGATAATAATATTATATATATATATATTAATTGTACCTGTAGTTTTTGCACACCTGGTGGTAAAAAAAGACTAGTAGTTAGCAAATGACATGACATCATGACTATGATGAAGTTAGAGATCGTTTTAGCCCTGGGGTCGTCTCTGGCAAACTTCTTGCCTTTTTCAAAAGCCTCATCGATAGGTAAAAGCCCCGGTTTCTTTGCAGCTGGCTTTGGATTCGCCGCTAGTTTAGCAGCGCAGGCGTTTTCGTACGCTTTTAACACACCATCGTAGCGATGGCGATGTTTCAGGTGACTAATCAGGTTGGAAGTATTATAGCTCGTTGCCTTTTTCCCTCCTCGTGGAACTTCTGCATTGCATTTGTTAATACAAATAGCAAGCGAACTATCTAACTCTGAAACTTTGAAATAGTCCCATACTACCGACGACATGTTTGTTTACTGTCCTGGCTTCACGGCCGCACACCATTTACGTCACAGCCAGGCATGAGTTAGGGAGCGCTGGATTTGTGCAAAACTCCCCTCTTCCTAAACCACTAATACCACAGTTCTGGCAAAACGGGAGGAGCCGAGTAAAAAACAAGCGCCCCTCATCCCAATCCACCCACACCGCAGTATTTCTTTCTTTTTTTTTACCCAAAAAATATATTGTATATTATCGGGGCTATTAATACTTTTATCGGGTTTATCGGGATGACGTCATAATTCCTAATATCGGACCGATAATTATCGTGCACCACTACTACTTACATTTAATATCTAACTCCTTCAGCCTACTTTCAGCTACAGAAACCATTCAACTATTAAATTATTCAGCTATTTCAGGACATTGAGGCTATACATGTTGTTTATACCTTTTCTTTTAAATATTAAGCTTCTTCACTATTTTTCCTACTCTTCCAGTTTAACATTTCACTTTCAAGTTTTCTACAAAGTCATTGCAATGCATTTGAGCTGTAACAATTTGATTCAAATCATTTCACTTTTCTGCATTTCTCCGCTAAGTTCAGCAACACACTTACATGTTTTTTGTAGCTAAAAGCAGCTACAGAGACCATTCAACTAATAAAATATTCAGCTTTCTCTGCAAAATTCAGCAACAAATGTACACAGTTTACAGCATTCACACGCATTTTCAGCAGGAAATGCATTTTCTAGTTAACTATGTACAACACCTTAGACAGAACATCAGCATAAAGAGAAACTAAAACATTATATAGCGTGTAAGAAAATGGATGTCTTATTGTCTAAAACAAGATTACTTTTTAGTCCATCTTCTTATATCTGTGTGCATCACGTATCCATGCCGTTCGACATTTGGATCAAAGCCAGCATTTCAGATTAAAGCTAGCAGAGAGAGGAGCAGATAGGTCTGCTGTCTGATTAGAGTCTGTAACAGTGAACTTTTGCTATGAACAAACATCAAATATCTTTCCACACCTTCCAACAGCACACATACTTTGAATCTTTTAGATTTATGAGTTGAATGTTTCAGGTGAGTGTTGTTTTATGTTGTGAGTCTGCCAGAACAGAGAATCCTGATTAACCTTCTGCACCTCTTTTCTCTTATCATTTTTAAGATAAAATGATAAATTTGAACATTTCAGAGGTTGTTAATAATCGATCACAAACCGCTGCAAAGCATAATATCACCGTTGCTAAGGTGGATCAAGGGAGAGAGAGAAGAGGTTAAATAACATAACATACAAAAATCATCTGGAACATTCTTTAAGGTATTTTCCTAATCTATTTTATTTTGTGTTATAACGTCATTGTGACCAATACAACATTGTATTTTTTGGGTTTTAAAAAAGAAGAGTAAATAATTATACTAATTTGCATTTGACAGGGGAAGACACAAAGAACTCCCATCGGCATCCTGTGGGTTCCTCTGTGTCAAATTTAACATGAACATGCTAATAGAGATGTAAATTAAACAAAACACAAGTCTGTATATATTACTGTATACTCACAGAGACATTATTGAACCCAGCTGCCATCGGATGGTTTTGCACTGAAGGAATCTCCACACAATCATTCTGAAATGAACACATAATTATCCATGAATCTGACACAATAAATAAAAAGTAGATTCATTTCTCATCATCATTAATTAAGCCTACATTACATTTTTTGATAACTGTGAAACAAAATATGTTCGTTGATCCATTTTCTAAGTCTGAACCAAATAGTTTTCTTAAGAACAGGTGAATCAAATCAAATCAGTTTTTATTTATATAGCACATTTAAAAACGATTTTTGGTCGAGCCAAAAGTGCAAGATTTAAACTTTACGAAAAATAATTCTAACGGAAACTCTGCCGCACGGTTCCCTCGTCCCTTGGAAGAGGCGGAGAGATGGGTGTTTTTCATCTGCTGGTGGACTACCGGAGAGATTTACAGCAGGAGCACATGCTTGCCTCGGGGAGGGAGAAAAAGAGAAACAGCCAGAGCCCTGCCTCTCACCACCTCTGCTGCTAAATCCACCACGGAGAATAAACACAAGGGTGGAATGCTCGGGAAGTCTTCTTCGCTGCTTTTGGTGTATTTTGTGGCGGAAGTACAGCGCCACTTACAGGCCCGGCATAAATACTAGTGTCTCCAGTAGGTCAAGCGGTCTCGTGTGACACGTTTATTGAGCCGATTGCGTGTGAACGGAAGACTTTTTTGATATCGAATTCGGTTCATTTTCGTTTCCGTTCCCGTGTAAATGGGGCCTAAAAGATAAAAACGACTTGGTCTTAGCCAATTGTCTTATTTTAAAAAAGCAGGTTTTGACTACGGTGCTGACCTGCTTATGAAATTAAAAGTGCTATTGAAGGTCACTCTAAGGTTCATGACAGAGGGGAGGATGTTTTTATTGAGAGAGCCCAGAATATCAACCGGAGAGGCTAGAGGTTGGGGTCCAAAAAAGATGACCTCTGTCTTGCTCTCGTTGAGGTTAAGGTGAAGAAAGATATTAGAACAATATTACAATCCAGATGTTTGTTGCTGTAAGACTGACTTTGGCCACAAGAGGCTGAAAAGCGTTCATGTTTTCTTTCAGGTCAGCATTTATTTCCACATGTTCAACAGTTTCTTTTTTTCCCCCAAACTAATATAGATTTTTCTGTTGAAACTTTGTTTGTACCTGTTCTTAAGTCCTTCAAAAAAAAAGATTTTAAAAGTTTGAAATGTACTCTCAGGGCTTCCGTAGACCATGTATTTTAAAGTGTGCTGCTATAAATGTCGCAAGCAATTAAATGTTTTTTCTCCTTATATGAAACCAAAAGATTGCGTGTGTCGTATTGAGCATTTGTTGTGATTTGGGATTTGAAGTTACTCAGAGGAAGGATGGCCAAATCCACAAACAGAAGATCCAAGCAATAAATCTGAATTATCAATTTATATGCATCATACAAATGTGAGGTGTGAATATCGGATGAACTCACTGTGAGTTCTCTATCATATGAATCATTACTGAAGCCAGCGTTATCCAAGGAGGATGATGCTGCTGGAGCGGTCCCAGCCTGGTCTCTCTGTCTGGTCCGCAGGTAGAAAACCAGGAATGCGATCATTGTGCCGATCAGCAGCAGGGTCACGATGACTGACGCTGCGATGCCTCCTGCGTTGTCATGCTTTGGTCCTGCTGCAGGGAACATGGACAAATATTTAGTTTCCTTTCTACTAAACGATATGGTTTACAGTGCTTCTCAAAGTGTGGTCCGCGGACCACTGGTGGTCCGTGAGCGCCCCCTAATGGTCCGTGAGTATATTGGTAACATTTCACATTTGAAATAAATAAATTTAAGTTTTCCGCACTCTCGCGGGAATATCTCCGCAATGGAGCGAGCTTAAGTTTCAATAAACACCTTCATCACACATGTGGCCACTTGTTTGTACCATTTTCAGGCGATTTGTAAAAAACGATGTGTTTTTGGATATTTGTGGAGTTAGGTGGTCCGCGAGTGTTTTTTTATTGGTTAAGTGGTCCTTGGTATGAAAAAGTTTGAGAAACACTGGGTTAAGACAATAGGAATTGAGACAGGGCAACATGCTGCATTTTAAGCTAGGTGACAAATGCTGACAAAAAGACAAACTCCTTTAATGCTGAATGTTTTAAAAGACAATCTTTAAACCTCAGATACATACATACAAGTTTGCTCGATAGTTTTTAAAATAGTAGTGAGGCAAATGGACAACAATGTTTGCTAAATCCCAACACTGTCAGGGAAATATATAGTTCAGTAACTCCTTGTAAAATTCATTATTTTCATATTTTTTTGTACGGATGATTCAAACAAGATTTAACATTTAATTAGTACCTTTACAGGTGCTGGTAGGCAGATATTTCTATTCCAGTCAAGCCAGGCTATCCGTTTTCCTATAATTCCAGTCTTAATGCTAAGCTAGGCTAACCTGCTACTAGCTGTAGCAGCTTCACTTCGTCAACCAATCTTCTCTACAAAGTACCTTAAAAAATCCTCGTATTTTACGAAAACATTCAGCAACAATAACAAATTATCTGTGCACGTTAGCAGCTAAAACACGCCAATTGTTGTTGTTCTTACTTAGTGAATCTGTGACTTCTTTAGCGCAGTTGACTCCGACGGTGTACTCAATGTCATCCAGAGCTACAACTCCTGTAGTGCCTTTGATTCCTTCAAACACAATCTGTAAACAACAACATGTACACAATGACTCCATGAGTGTCCAATGTAAGATATTTAACTATATGCAGAAGTCCATGTACCTAAATAAGCTTCTATACAGAGTTAGAAGCACTAAGTAGTCAATAGGTATATTTGGTGTTTCCTGGCAACTGAGAATCTGACCTGGTATTCCTCTGCAGATATTATGTTGATGTCAAAGCGTTTCCACGGTCCTCCATGATCGCTCACCCCCAGCAGCTGATTGAGAGCACCTTCAGACAGCCTCCACACCTTCAGCTGGCTGTCCACTGCATACATATTTAAGAAGAGGAGAATATGCAAGTGTTACAAAATACCAAGGGAAATGCGTCACATCCAGGCACATCTATATTTTACAATGACACTGATTCTTACATGAGTGTTGTTTGTAGACCCAGAATTTTAGGCAGGTGCCCTTGGTCGGGGGCAGGTGAGGGCTCAGCAACTGAGCATTTTCTTTGGCTGCAGTCCGGTTGCTGCTTGAGAGGAACAGGAAGTGGCCTGGCGAAAAAGTAATGGAACTTTTTTAATCACAAATTCACACTTAAAACTTGGATAGGCAGGTATTGGAAAACACAAAAAAACGTCAGCATCTGAAATTACAGCCCTCGTCCTGCTGTTCTCCTGAGCCAGCCCTAACAGACGAGTGTGAGAATATGAGAACACTTCATACAGTAACCTGTAGGCCTACTCGTTAATTAAAAAAAATCAACATTATCGTGATACTGTTGGTGTTTTCTTTGCAAACTTAGATTTTCAGGCTGCATTTAGGTACAATAGGAGTCAAGCCTATAAGAGATTACTACAAGTTTAAGCCATCTACCAGGCTAAACAGTTAGCTCAAAGCTACAGCAGAGCCAAGGCTATGGTTAGCAGAAGGCTAAACTATTTGAGAGATAACTTTTGTTGTTAATATACAAGTAGCAACATGTTCTTTACATCCTTGATTGTCAGACAAAATTCTTGATAAGTCTATCTTCTTTTTTTTTTGCTCTCCTTTAAATGTAGGCCTTTATTGCCACTGCTGTGATAGCAACTTTTTTTATCAGGTTTTTCCACCGTTGAACAAGCTTCTACATTTGAAGCATTTAGCACATCATCCAAAGTCAGCGCACCTCTCTCAGTGCCCAGACTGTGGTCTTCAGACGGGGTGGGGTAGTGGCTCTCCGCCTCCCGACTTGTCCGCTCCCAGTCCAGTTTGTCCACTTTGATATTCTGAGTGTTGCTCCAGCTACACATCCCCCTCTCCAGAGTGCATTTAGAACCTGATATATTTGTATAGAACAAGAAAAACAATTAGTAGAAGGCTCCTCTACTACTCACAGGGGCTTGCCAAAACTCTTGTTTAATTTTCAAGTATGTTGTGTATCTTCTTCAGTTAGCTAGGGCTGCTACAAACCGTGATTTTCACATGGGTAATCTGAAAGGGAGATGTCGTCCACTGCAATGTGAGTGTTATCGCCTCCTGCTCCGACTACCTCAAACTCCAGCTGCAGAGTATAAGTGAAAGAAAATCTCATCATCTTGTTTAAACTGACAAACACGACATCCTACATATACATATGGAATTTTGAAGGATTTCCAAATGGGAAAGTGAACGCAGTTTCTTTACATTATATGCAATACTTTTAGTGTTTCAAGTCTATAATTGTAAATCTCTCTCACACATAAGTCGTAGAACACTTGACCCTAACCCTAATAATGCCTATTTGGGTGTGGCAAAGTCAAAGGAGAATTGATCTGCTCATCACTGAAAGGGTTTTACGTATCAATCTCTCTTGGCCCGTTGTGTTATTGTTCTCGATTTGAAATCAACAAAGCTCCTTTTATACAATGCAAAAACTTTTACTTGGTCCCGTTTCTCTATCAAAATGCTCTGCTGCGCCCAAATTATGTACCATTTAATTTGCTAATGTGGAATTGAACCTGCTTAGGACGTGCTCTTGCGCTATTCACTTTAGAACATGCCCTAAAGATTGGTTAAATATTGCCTGAGGACTTTTATAGTCTGACTCAGGCTATATGTTTTGGGGTTTTTCTTTATAAAATAGTTATACAATAGTTCCAGCGGCCTTATACCTGCCAGTCCTCAAGGTCACTTGTGATGTTGCCGTTGCCATGGCGCCAGACATCTCCCTGGTCCAGATTGTCAGAGAAAATGCTGACCCTTTCTCCTTTCACCGGCTTCATGTACAATTTTAGAGAACCTACAAAGTACACAAAGGTATATTGATATTAGAATTGTTTGTTGTATTTTTTGTGTCTGTTTTAGTGTGTGGTTGTGCGTGTAGGTGTCTTACCAGGATTCTTTCCTCCCATGTGATACCAGAAACTGACACACACAGTCTTGACGATTCTTTGTCGAACAGGTGATGTAAGGACTGTTGTTCCACTAGCAGGAAGGATGTTCACTCCGGTGTTAGCCATCATGTAGAAACCTGAGCAACCAACAAATTCATTTTTCACTCACTTAGTAAGTATTAAAATGTTACTTACACTAAATGTGATTCTTTAATTTTCTCTTACCCAGTTCAGTCTCTAGAGTGTGGTCAGTCTTGGGTCCGCTCCCTGTGGCGCTGAGTCCCCTGCGGTACTGCCAGTGACCGGGACCAGAGCTGCTGTATCCACACCGCTGGCCTTCAAAGGAGCACTTCTTGGGCACGGTGCACGGTTCTTCAAGGAACGTCACATCGTCAATGGCAACTCGCCCGTCAAAACCGGAGCGAACCGCTTCAAACATCAGCTGTTGGGAGAGGGTAGAAAAGGAAAATTTTTAAATGTGGCATTGTACAGTATTATTCTGTGGCTCTACCCAAGCTTTCTTCCATTTGCCCCATTGAATGTGGGGTTTCTTTCGGGAGTCAGCTGTGAGGGTCTAAGGACAGAGGGTATTGCTCACACTGAAAAGACCGCTGAGACAAAGTGATATTTCTTTTTCTTTGTAATAGTATCCTGGCAAAACCTCTTTTAAACATGAGATGAGCACATAAGAGAAAACTATTTAAAATGTATAAAATGGACCACTAAAATGTGTTGTGTCTCTGTCCTCTGAGGGCTTCCGTATAAAGCTCTGTGAAGTTTCAATGATTTTTCAAACACTGTTTTGTTATTTAAGTCTGACTGTACTTATTCCATACCCTGAAGTTTGTGAGTTGGTGGGGTACGGGGCAGTGTGCCTCGTGCCACTCGTTGCCATGAGCTGCACTGCGGGTCCACAGGATGTTTTCATAACCGTCGTTATCTAACAGCTTCACATTCAAAACACCTGGGGGGGTGAGAGTGGGAGAGGAAGTGTGAGAAGTTGGTAGGCAATTTTTCAACTCAATCCAAAATATGTGACAGTTACTCATAGAGAGGGTATTTTAACAGGCAGACGGTCCTTTTGTAAAATTAACTTTAGGTATTTTCCCCCAAGGCTTAAAGCACCAGATGCTTCAGTATCCACGTTTCACTCTAAACTGCTTTTCATGTGGGCCACTGCTCACCTGTGTTGGGCCCGTAGAGTTTGTAGAAGAAGGACAAGCAGTAATCTGATGGACCTTGTAACTGTGTGAATGAAACTAAGCGTCCGAACGCACCGCGCAGAGCAGGACTCCACATGTCCACGGTGAGGCTTGTGCCTGGAAAGAAAGACAGGAAGTGAAATAACATTCAATTCAATTTTATTTAGCAGATCCCTTTATCAAAATCCACTTACAAAACACCTCTACATGACTACGGGAGATATGACCGGTTCAGTATCTTGCACAAGGACATTTGGATTATGGATAGAAGTAGTATTTATATTAAACAGTTAGCATTTGGGTAGATAATGATCTCTCTTTATTGTTTAAATGTGCACTAACAGTGCCTGTAAATATTTATGTGTGCAATTTTCACTTTATTTTCTGTCTTACAATTTATTCACAATCTGTAAACGTTAATGTTCACTTTATAAAAATTACAGCAACTTATTTTATTACCATGCTGTACTCATTTGATGTGACGTGTGCTTGTCTTTATATAGGCTATAATATGTATTTTTGATTCTGATAAATGGCAAATGAAAAGCTGACAGACACCTGTTACGTTGAAAATTGACAATGCTGCACAAATGTAATTATTTTTACATTAAATCATGATTACAAAAATATCCTCCAACGTTATCATTGAAACAAAGTGTATGTGTGTGTTATACCCCATACTGAAACATACATTTTAAATCCATATATAATGTTTAATTGTTTTGTTTTTAAGCCTACCGATCCCGATGGTGTGGTCCATCCCATTCAGCAACGCCCAGTCAAAGTCGTCACTGTTGTCCTGGTACCATCCACACAGCCCATCTTCAAAGTTACACGACAATCCTGGCCAAAAAGACAAAAAGGTTAATCAAAGCTTTGAGATATTTGTCAGAAAAATATGAAGTACTGCAAATAGTTTGCATCTACCTGTTTTAGAGTATGGGAAATAGTTAGCATTACAGCTAACAAAGCTAACGTTTTTCACTTTAATCTTGGACAATGCATCAAGTTTCAAAGCATGAGCTTCGAATGCCAGCTGGTGAACACAAAGAAAACAGAAGAGTTAGATAAAGATAGTACAGTACATTTTTTAACCAGTTTCGCAATATACAACTCTTTCAACCAGCTGAACGTGGAAATCCGACATATTTCTAGCTCTTTTTCCATCTGCCGCTACATTATTTTACACGCATGTCCTTTTAAAAAAAAAATGTAGGCCTACTCGTATTTTCCCCTAGCAGTGCAAAGAATGAGCACAAGACCTTTTGGGGAAATTGACAATCTCGTGGGGGTTTCAAAGTTTGACTTCTTGTAGACATTTTTGGCTTTGACTCATCAGCAAAGCAAAAACATCAAACACCTAATGTTTTCATAAACCTATTAGTTAACCTTAAAGACTGAACTCTTTTTATTTTTCAGATAAATGATACAGATCTCTGTCAAATCTCATCATCAATGCCAATATTAAATATGGGGAAATCAGCCATGAGGAGTCTGAGCTGACCTGGAAGCGATCTTTTCTAAATCCAACAGGCACGTTGACGTGTTGCCACGCCCCCTCCTCGGCTCCTGTCTTCCCGCTGAACTCCCACAGCTTCGGCCGCATGCCCAGCCAGCTGTCAATCACCCTGACAGACAGCTCACCTGCAGCAGAAAGATGAAAACAAAAGAGTCGCTTTAAAATATATGAACCATGTGCAGTGGTGGATGAAGTAAAGGTAGAAATACTCTGTTGCAGTAATAAAAATCTGGCGTTCAAAATGTTGTAAAAGTACATTTGATCTAAAATGAAAAACTAAAACTACTCATTATGCAGAATGCCCATTTTTGGAATAATTTGCAATCATCATTTAGATTTTTCAGGCTGGACCGGTGGAGCTAACTTTATTGACTTTTTATACTGCTTAATACATAACCTGAAAAGTCGCTCATAACTCATGTTTTCAAATTAAGTGAGTAAAAAGATAAAGTAGCATAAAATGGAAATACTCTAATAATCTAGTACTGTACAAGTATGGCCGTGTGTCCTAAAAAAAGTCAGATGTGATACAAAGACATATCGAATAACAAGATGATTCATTTACCAATCTGATCTGGGATCCCAGTTAGTGCAAAGTCAAAGCTCAGGCTGCAGGCGGGGCCGGAGGGGCCCAGGAGGGGGGTCCGTGTCTGGGCCTCGGTCAGCTGCTGGCCCGGGGCCTCGGCTACGTACAGGTTCTCCTCTGTGAAACATAAAAGAAACCAATATTGTAAATGTTTTGTAATTTCTTGATTGCTAGCAAATCAATAGTTGGGGGTTGTTGGTTGTACCTTCGGATGTAGCATTTTCATAAAGCACCCAGCCTTGACTCCCTATGCTGGAGTCAGTCCAGCCCGAGCTGCCCTCCGTGTAAGAAAAGTCTCCTGCAGAAAGAGTCATGGAGACATCTTGATAAGAAATAGACAAGAATCAAACAACTTTATAACAATGACTGCCATTATTCAATTCAGTGCATGAGACAGGGGTCAGAAAGGTCTGCGCCAACCAGTTACTTGCTTAGTTTGCTTTTAATTACAAGTATACCACATTTACAAAAACACTCATATTACAGGATTAAAAAACCAAACATGCAAGTCTAGGAATGGTCATTAACTTTTTTTTAAGGGAAGCTGAGTAAACAGAACAAATTGACGCACCACATTTGGCTTCATCCTCTGCTTTTGCACAGTCACTGTGGAAGTCACACATCTTGTCCGGTTCAGCACACGGATCCTTGGGAGGTTTAGGGAATACTTCCAAGGAACTAGTGCCTGGAAAGAAGGGAATGTGAGATGGCAGCTTATTAGTATTCACTGTTGATGTGGAAGTATTGAAGACACAAAAGACTATTAAATAATTACCAGTTGAGTTGCGGCATTCAGGAGACAACACAATGCTGTCGACACCGATCCCTCCATAAGCAAAGTCTCTGATGGCTGCCATTATTAGAATCTGTAATGATGGAAAACTGAGTGAGTCAGATTCCCATACAAATATAACTCTGAATAGTTATCAGTTCTGGTCTGAAAAGCAAAAGTATAGTAGCTACCAGATTACATGTTAAACCTGTTATTACAAATGTAAACTTGTTTTCTAATGTTCATAATGACCATATTTATCAATACATTTTTAAGTATATTCAAAAAACTACTTTTCACACAGTTGCATATTGTACAGAGTATCCTATGTATTTTTAGTAGGTTGTTCTTTTATAGTGTAATATAACTGACTGTTTATGTTATATTGTGTATTCTATAGATACTATAGATATACATTTATTTCTACTGTCGACATGTATTTACTGGTCATTTGTACTTTATTTGATTTCAACTTATGAATGTGTGTTGTGACATGTCTTGTTAACATGCTGCTGTAAGAAAACAGTTTCCCAATTTGTGATCAACAAAGTACATTGAATCTGAAATCCTTGTTTAAAGGTCCCCTATTTTACTGTTTTACATCAATATATTATAGTTCTTAGTTATACACAAAACATGTCTCTGAAGCGTTTGGCTCGAAACACCAAACAGATCATTGCAGCATCCCATAATCCCCTCTGTTTCAGCCCTGTTTCAAAAGTGCTGATTCTCTGTCTGTTACTTTAGAAGAAAATAAGGAGCCACTCCCCACGCCCCTCTGAGAGATATTTGGTTAAAAAGAACACAATAGCCGCGTTCACACTGCAGTACTTTTCCCACTTTAGTTCCGATATAGTTCCGAAATGTCGCGTTCACACCAAAAAGAGCCGGAACTAAAATTAGTTCATGAGAACCTTTTTTTTTTTACCTGCTAGAGAGCAGGTACTTTCATGGGAGAAAAAGGTTCCTATGTCTGATTGGCTGGGCGGAATGCAAACCACGCCCCGTAAAACTCCAAAAAAGGTTTTGTGAAGCAGCCATTTTATTATCCTTGCATTAGCATTATTAGCATTATCCCAGCGCACAAACGCAGAGAGACTAACTTATGGCAACACAAAAGAAAACATGGGAGCGGTGGAGATGAGGAGGTGTCGGCGTTCTGGCGATTTACTCGGAAGGCTTCAGTAGAAGCTGCTGGGTGTCCCAGCAGCGTCTACTGAAGCCAGTCCCTTCTGGCCTGCCAGTAAACTCAAAGCAGAAGAAGAAGAAGTGACGTCAGCGGCTCAATTTGCCTAATCCTTCCCCAGGAACTTATTTCGGTGTGAACGCGAAAAGTTCATGAGAACTAAAGAGTTCTCATGAACCTTTGTGGGAAAAGTACTGCTGATTCAGGTGATAAAGGGGGGGGGCAGAGGGGTTACCCTACCTTGGTTGGTGATTGGCTAATGGTTACACAAGCCAACACATCGCCACATCGTTATGATATCATAAAGTGACCAAAATCTGATCATCACATTTTCAGACAGGTTTTTATATAAATGGATCAGGAAAAAAAGTGAGCAAATCTTTTTTCCTGAATCTTTCAGAATCTCTTTACACAGAAGGGACACATGTTGATATATAAAAGACATGAACAAGTGGATTTTGCATAATAGGTGACCTTAAAGGCTATGGCTAGCATCGGTACTGTAGGTACAATCTCAGGTAAGGTACTCACTTGGAAGGTGGAGTTTGTGACGATGTCCACCTCTGCCTTCACCCAAACATCGCCCAGAGCACCGCCCCTCTCCCACACCGGGGTGATCTGTTGCCCTGCCACCAGCACCGTCAGACCGCCAGACCTCGGCCCAAACTGGTGGGTGTACATCACCATCTGCAGCGGGCACATGCAGAAATATTATCAAACTAGGTTAAGAAATACCTCGTAATTATATAAACGTCAAAAGAGAAGAAAGATATCACAGTTTGTTCTATTAAATCCCCTGTCATCTTCTTTTTTTCAAATGTCAACAGTATTGGTAGTTGTTAAGTCTGGATATTAGTAAAAAATGTGTCAAAAAAAAAATATAGAAAAGAAAATATATATATATATACAGTTAATATTTTAGTTTTTGGGAGAAGGGGTGGGATTAAATAAGTGTTAACTTCTTCCCACCCCTTTTCAGATGTGTAATTAAGTTGATAATTTGTTTATATAATTTAGAATCAGTAATATTTTTGTATATCAATTTGACACTTTGTATTGTATAATAATTCTCATGTTAAATTTCATTATAATTATAATTTTTTTGTATTATTGTTTTACACATTCGAAAAATAAATCTAATCAAATCAAATCAGTACATTTTTGTGAAAATGAAGCATTAGAGTACATTTAAAAACTCTTTTAATGAAGAAGGAATCAGCTTGAGACTCACCTTACAAGGATGTGAACTATTGGTAGGTTCCAGGCGGGGACTTTGAAAAGCGGCCCAGTCTTTTTTGAGACCCCCCTCAGGGACAGTGACATATAGGAAGTGACCTGCAATGATAATAAGGATATTCTAGTTTTAAAATGCTTTGTTTTGTTGTGTTTATGATCGTCAACCTATTTTATTTATATTTTGTACCATCACAAGGTGGCACAACACAACATAAAGTGGGACAAAATGAGCTCTAATGAAGAGTGGGATTTAAATATGTAAAACGATAAATATGCATGTATGTTTTTGTATCAGAGTATAATACCTGTTGCACTGTTGTTGGAGTGATCCCGGCCTGGTCCTTGCAGAGGATCCATGAGGGAGATGTTCTTCTGATTTGTTCGAACCCATAACAGGTTGGAGAATGACCTCAGGTCCCAATCACACTCACCATCCTCAAAGTCACAGATCCTGTACCCTTCTGGAGACACATTTATCACAACTCACATTAACTGTCTGGATATAACATTTACCGTGTAGATTGTATGGCGAGATGAGTCTCCTCATTACATTTAAGAAAAGTATTTGAGTCTTGAGAAGTGCTTTCCATAAGGATAGTGTCAGGGGAATTTGATGTGTCTTCCCATTATTATTGTCCTAGTCAGCAGTTTTTTATTTGGATTAGATCTTCAATATATTATGAAGAAGTCCTGTAAAATGTGTTTTGTATGGAAGCAAAGAACTGCCCTGCTTGCAATAATATTTCTAATGGCGATATACTGATTTATATATCTTGAGATAACAAAGCTTGTTTTCTTGTCATAATTATATAGTTTAGTTATGTAGATTTCTTTAGACAAGATTATTTACCACAAGGAAAGCACTTTTATTTTCTCGAGATCACAGGATGATTACAGAATAATTCATCATCGCATCGCATCTTAGGTCATCATTCAAAATCATAATTGAACAGTTAGTCAAGGCCTTAAAGTGTTATTGGTGATCGGTGCTCTACTTCAGCTTTGAACCCGTAGCTACAGTTGTCAAAACACCATCATGCATACTGGCCTGGCACTCCTGAACTCAGTTGTTCAATGAGAAATTATAGTTTAATGTGCTGATCATCTCCTTATCTCAAGATAAGGGCATAAAAAGAATATATTAGCAAGCAGAGCCAATTGTTGTTGTTGTTGAACTGCCTCTTAAATCTCTTGTTTTTACAGACTCTAATGTTTGTAGTTTGTCTGTTTGTACAGATTTCTTCACATTTTCTGTCCTCACCACAGTTCTTCTCATCAGTCCCGTCACCACAGTCGTCGCTGCCGTCACAGAGCTGCTGCCGCTCCACGCAGCCCCCCCGCGAACACTGCAACTCAGGTTGACACCCAGGGAGTGGTGCTGATGACGTAATGAGAGAAAAAACAACATCAAAATACTCATTCAGTCATCAGGGCTCTGCAATTATATTTGAGCAACTTACTCATGTATTATAATTCATTCCAAACTTTTTTCACCATGGGCCACATACAGAAAAATATACGAAGGGCTGGGCCACTCACTAGAGGTATTTTGCCTCATAAATTCTGTTATAAGTTGGAAAAGTCAATCCAATGTAGGTAAATTATTCTTGATACTTGAAAATGCTGTAAGAAAAAAACAGCTCACAGCTCTCCAGAGGGTTTACTTTATTTTGTTAGCAACTCATTCGTTAAAACAGAAGCTTTAGATTGCTTATAAGAAGAGGAAATATGAAGGGTATATTTCAAGGTTGTTTCAAATTTGTTATTGGGCTTTTTTCTTATCAACTTAGATTTGTTAGAACATGTTTTCAACTTTAATTGACTGAATTTATTTGAAAATTGGGCTTATTAACACATGAATACTGTGTAACTTATGTATTTAAGAAGTACAATATAAGAAAAGCAGAAGTGTATTATACTTAAGTCATTATACTTTTTTAATTTGCTGAGTGAGGGCCGATTCAAAATGGTCCGCGGGCCGCTTTTGGCCTCTGTGCCGTAGTTTGGACACCCCTGCTCTATAGTAAGGCATGTACTGCCCATGATTAGATCATTTCGACTCACAGGGCAAAGCACAGTCCAGGAACTCCAGCTGGTCCACTGCCACATCTCCTCTGAGCCCCTCGGAGCGCTGCGAGTGAAGACGGATTTGGAAAGATGTGGGAATACGGCCCAGAAAGATGGTCGCCTCCCTCCAGCCATGCACACTGGTGGCCTCCGGACGCCACACTACGGCATCCTGGGAGTCCTGGTGAAGGATGGACGCCCACAAGGGAATAGAGCCCAGACCTGAGTGACCTATGGGTTAAATATTTTATTAGTAAGACAGCTGCTAGGGAAATTAAATCTCAGTGTTCACAACAATTAATAAGTCTGATAAAAAAGAATTGTGTAGACTGAGGTCAAGGGCGTAGAGTCAGTCGAATTAAGAGTTAAGACATAAAGTAAAACCAAAATATGGAAGCCCTGAGAGTAAAAGTGGTCTGATCAAAATTGCACAGGTAAAAAAAACAAGTTTCTCCAAAAGAATCCTTCCTAGAGTTCCTAAATTGTATGTAATTTTAAAAGTTTCTTCTTCTGTGATTGCAGATGAGTTATTGTTTTTGTCAGGATAAGTATTTGTTGTTCTTATTATCATTTCAGCCACAAAACGGACCAAGAACATTAATTTTAGAAAACCTATCCTGGCAAAAACATGTCTTCACTTGTTTTTAGTTCATAACAATAAAGAAGAAAACCATTAAGATCAGACTTGATAAATTAATCAACTGTTTTCTTTCTTCTTGCCTCTCATGGGCTTCCGCAGATAAATAACCCTAACCCTAATACATACAAACGCTGTGAGTAAAAGGAGTAAAATCAATATGAAATCCCATAATATTTCTTTTTAGATTAAAAAGTATAACCTGTAGTTATTAATAGTTGTTACCTGAGTCCCACAGGAAGTATCTGAGCCGAAGACGACATGTTTGTGAAGACTGCTTCATCTGTGGAGAGATTAACACTGCAGGGCTGAGAAACTCTGTCGTCACCGCACTCACTCCCATAAACCAACCTGTGGGAATATGAAACGTACAGGGCACTGTTTTAATAATAATATAATAATAATAATCAGACATCATACATTTCCCTCAGCTCTATTTTGTTGTGTTATTACCAAAAATGGCTGATGTAAATTGAAGTGCTGGGAAGATATTGTTGTTAAACTCACAGGGCAGAGAGGGGTGTATACTGTCTACAATCAAATCCAACTTTATTTATATAGCACATTTAAAAACAACAGAGTTGACCAAAGTGCTGTACATCAATACATATATAAAAAGCAGCATAAATACATTTAGACAAAAATAAACTAATGTAAAAGCATGAGACAATAAAACCATACTTATAGCCACAGACTGAAAACCCTCATACATGATGTAAAAACATTTAAAAACACAACTAAATATACGTGGTCTGTAAAAGCACGGGAGAACAAGTAGGTCTTTAAACGAGATTTAAAAATAGGCAAAGTGGGAGCAAGTCTGATCATATACAACATGAGGTTAGTATTTAACTTTACCTGTAGCTGTCCCTGTGGTGTAGTCAGAGGACGGCCCGCTGACAGGCAGCTCCCCCCCCCCTCTCTGACGTCTCTCCCAGCTGTACACTGATGCTTTCAAGGACTCGTCAGTCCATCCACACATCCCTGCTTCTGCAAAGTCACACCCAAACGCTGTTCCATTGTAGCCTGGAGAGGCAGGTTTAAATGTTTTGTAATTGACAGAAGATGTTAGTAATTTATTCCAGCAATTCTCAGATTAAATAAGTGCATTAAATTCACATAAATGTAAATCAAAAATCATGAGATCAGGTGTTGGCCCCTGAAGATACTCTCGATAAGCAAAGAGGAGAATATGTTAAAATAAACATCTGTGGATTGAGCTCAGAGCAGAATATATGTATTAGCTTACCACAGTCTTGTTCATCGCTGCAGCCTTCACAGTTGCACACAAAGTCACATTTCACCTCAGGAGTCACACATGGATCAGCCACAAAGCAATTCACTGTGTAATGACATAAAATACAAATAAAAGTCGTTTTTTTTCTGAATAGTGGTGTCCTTTTAGTGTGTGAGAATAGATATATACATTAAAGTAAATGGACTGTACTTATATAGCGCTTTATCCAGTCTTTACGACCCCTCAAAGCGCTTTACATACTACATGTCATTCACCCATTCACACCCATTCATACAGAGCAGTACCACTTGCTCTAGGACCTAACATTCACACACCGTTGGCCATGCCATCGGGAGCAACTCAGGGTTAAGTATCTTGCCCAAGGATACATCGACATGTTGGCTGCACGGGCTGGGATCGAACCCACAACCTTCTGGTTGAAAGATGACCGCACTCCCTCGCAGCCACAGTCGCAGTAACAGATGGTCTGGGAGGTGTGACTTTTTATGAGCACATCTAATTTGGAAAATATCCTCTTTACTCAACGTCCACTTCTCTTTAAAGCCTTTGATCGTATAACACAGTCTTCTATTTATTTTTACTCCTGCAACGTTATGGACTTTAGGACTAAAAACATATCTTTAAGTTCAAGGCTTATCTCCGTATTGAAACCACAATAAAAAACATACCAATTGGCCAACATCACAAGCTGATCAAGATAGAGTGATAAGGTAAAAAGCTCCAGAACAAGCCAGTTAGGGAGTGGAGATTTGTTCTGTGGACTTCATTAGAAATCAACCATCAGACCCAACAGAATTTATGAGCATGAGAAAAGTACAGGTTATTTATTTAGAAAATTAGAAAAATTGTGTTATTTAATATTGTAGTTATTTCCTGTACATCACTTTGGTCAACTGAAGGTTGTTTTACATGTGGTATATAAATAAATAAAGATTGAAAGATTGAGATTGAGCACATCTTGCACATGATTCAACCCCAAACACCGTTATCAGGCCTCATAACTGTTAAAGCTTTATGGCGACAGTAATGGTGACAGGCTCAAAGGACAGAGAGAAAGTTCGCAGCAGCAAAATGACATCCGTCCATCCAAAGGTCTCTGATTAACACCCAAGGGTTCACGTTTCATAATGAGGTCAATTCCAGTTGTCAAATACAGAGCTAAAAGCAGAGTTTGTGTTGACACCAGTCTATGGTTGACACTGATCAAATAAAAATATACTTTTTTTAATTTATATTGTTTGATGTTTCGTTTTAATAAGAATAATAGGTTAATGTTGAGAATTATTATAATTGTAATTATATATATATTTATAGTTAATGAATGATGTTGTTCTCAATTATTCTATAATCTAAGTCTTTATTAATTATTTACTTGTTTTAATTAATTTAATATCATTCTGTTTTTGGTAATATATTAGTTTTTGTATTTTGCATAAAAACTACGATTGGGGCTATTTATTTTTGATATGGTTATACAGTATATTGATATGTATATATTGATATGTGTCAATTTATTGTAAGAATGTAAAGAAATTCAGAAGATTTATGAATTTTAAAGTGGTAAAAATAGTCACTACAGCCCTGCATAAGAGGGACTAAAGACAACAGATTGAGGGCGTCAGCACTAAGGGGTGTGAGGATTTTTTTCAAAATGTTCTAAGGTCCTATAATATGTTTATAATACATTTTATTGCTCAAATACATACACTCACTCTTGTCAAAATTGTCATTGAAACTCATTACTTGTATCACTTCCTTATCCCACGGCCATTATAGCATATATATCAGGCTTTACATTTAGGGTCCTGGAATCACAATTGTACTTTTTACTTATTTATTTTTCAATATTTTACAATTATTTGCCTTATTGGGCAAATATATATATATAAGCTAAGATAGACCCAGCCACCAGCAGCTCCTTTAAGTCTACATGAAGTGTTACTTAAACTTAGTGTGAACTGTGTGAATGTGTTCTTACCAATCTGCAGAGTCAGCAGCAGAACGAGGGCCGGGCTCCTCCAGAGGAACATCTTCTTTTCCCTTCTCTTCACCTGACCAGTCTGGAGGTCTGAACGCAGCCAGGAGTCTTTGGGAGTTCACTCTGACCTCTTCTCGCAATCCAAGAGATAACGCTTGAACTTTAAATTCTCCCAGCATGCAACTGCAACCAAGCATCATAAAACAATTTCCTCCAACCAGCAGAGTTCCACACATCCGTATATTGCACAATAACTGAAGTAGACACAGTTGTATTCTATATAAACACATTTACAGCTATATTATCCTTCTGTTCACCTTGATTTACCTCCATTAGGAGATCACTGAGCCATTTGTTTCTTGCTATATCTAGTTGTATAGGTTTTACCAGGAAAGTCTTTCTAAGTTCCTTTTTTTTATTAACAATGTTATTCAGGTGGATACAGTCGCATAAATTACCCACCTGCCATAAATTCACAGAAAACTAACTTGGAAAAATTATCTGTATTCCATTATGAAGACAAAATCAACATGTTCAAGGTCATCTGTAAACACGAAGAATATGTTAAGCCATAATCAGCGTAAAGATTAGAAGCGAAAATAAACTGCAAGCTTTGCTGCAAAAATGTAAAAAACCCACCCACACTCCACAGCTGTTAGGATTTACAATGGCATCTTGCATATTTGACACATTGAGGTGTGAAATGTGATATTGTGATTGAACAAACAGCTCTTGCAAATTGAGTGTGTAGCATCTAAACAGTCCCTTCCAGTGGTGTTGAATAATGGAGCCGTGACCATGAATGCATCATTGCTGAAACCAGAAACCAGCACACTAGCAAATGTTTATATTTATTAGGTTGCTTGACGGCATGTTTCACTTTTGATGGGACGGTTCTCCCTGCTTCCATTCTTTGTGCTGATGCTAGCTTAAAATGAACTTTTAGCATTCAGTTTTTTGTTTATTATGACAATATCTAAGGTGTTGTCTTGTAAATGTACCAATTTAATATCTGACTAATTCTGAGATTTCTTTTTCAAAATTGACATACCCGTTCCTTAAATACATTTTTCCTACACAATAGTACAATGTTGTAATTCCATCTTGTTGTGTTAGCCGTAAAACACCAAAAAACTAAAATGAATGCGTAGGAGCCATGATCAATATTGATTGGTTGGCTTGGGTCACATGGGTATGGGTGGCACTCATAATCCTGTTCACCTGTGTGAGGTGTGGGTGTGTGGAAGAGGGGGTGACACGGGGCCGTTGTATTTTTTTTGTTGACCGCAAGATTACAATTGCTTGGATTATAACAATGTATATGTCTGATCACCGAGTTGTTTCATTAAACTACCATACTACGAAACAGAGCTTCAGATCTCAGCGAGTACTTTTTTAGCGTGTCATACAACATCAAACAGGCCCGGCCTCAGCCTCTCAGCGACTTAGTTTGTTTCCTGCTGTCGCTACAGAATGCATAACATTCATCAGCAGTTCACATTCCTGTCAGTGGACCAGAGGAATACAAGTCTGCAACAGACGAAGTATGCACAAGACTTTAAAGTTCATTTCATAAAACATTTATGAAATATCACAACATATCTTAGCAATTAGTTCCAATGTGACTCTAAAACAAGTCAATGAGTGTTATTTACTTTATGATTTCCAGATGATGTTCTATGGTACTGATTATAATTACGATCATGATTTCTTTTTTTAAAGACATATTGTTACTTAAGATAAGTCCAAAACCGGCTTGTCTTTTGAATAGGACTTGAAGCTGTACGTCAGTCTTAGTCTTGGGTTATCAAAAAGCTCCAGGTTACAGATGAGTGCCGTACTGTCCAGGAGAAAGGGCGTCCAACAGACGCTGATCTGAGTTCAGTTCAGTATCCTTCATTGTCCCAGGTCACCTCATAGTCCAGATACTGAGCCTTCAGTTGCTCAGTGGTTACTGCATGGTTCGCTCTTCCAAATCCCTAAAACAAAATATACCAATGTACCATTAAAGTAAAAGAAAGAGAAATGTAGTAAAGCTGTAATGATTTAGTTTGTTTTGCACTGTTTTTGTCTACATAACTACAGTTTTTATAAGGCAGAATTCTCTCACTATTGAGTATCCATAGACGTGGATCTTCTTGTCCTGGGGGTCATGTTGGATCCTCCCTCCTCCGATACACTCACAGTCCAGGTGGCCGCCCTTCTCCAGCTCCTCAGAAACTTTATCATAGATATCAGCTGCAAGAAAAGGCAAGTGATGGCATAAACACTGCACTTTATAATACATTTAAATATAATGTAGAACATTGAAAAAATTGAATAATGTACATCAATATAGGGCTGCTCAATTAATCGTATTTTAATCGCAATTACGATTATGGCTTGCAACGATTACGAAAACAACGTAATTGAAATAAAACGATAATTTTTTTATCATTACTTTTTTTAAATAATTTTTTCAGTTGAATTATACTTTATATATATATATAATATATACTTAAAGTTCAGGGTAATCAACTGTTCAAAACATACTGTTCACATTTTTTCTCTCCAATAAATTGATGTTTTCAAAGTAAATGGATAATCGTTTTTAATAATCGTGATATCAATTATTGACCCAAATAATCGAGATTATGATTTTTGACATAATCGAGCAGCCCTACATCAATATATAATACAGCTGTGATTCGGATGTTTGGCTTGAACAAATGTGGTTGTAACTTGTGAATGAAGCAAGCAGTGTCCCATCTGTCCAAACATAGGATATTTTAGACTGTAGATTTGGAATATTGGTCAGTATAACAATACAATAACTGCAATTTACGGAATAGGGATGGAATGATATTCGATTATATTGTGGAGGCAAAAAAACAACCCAAATGTCTCTGATGGTATCTCCCATTATTGGGGTAATCATCAATACCCTCACACGATTGTCATGGAAAAGTTGTCTTTAACAAATTGAAGGTAAAGAGTTCTAAGCATGTTTTGATTATTATTGCGATAATATCTTAAGTCACATTTACATTTGCAAGGAAAATCTTGAAACTACATTTTCAAATGCTCCAAAATGACCACAAAAATGAATTAACACTTCTTTACAGTTTCAACACACACTGAACATGATAACCTTGATGAGGGATAGCATTTCTTGTAAAACGGTTGTATTGTACTGCATTAGCTTTAGTTAGGTGAAACTAATACATTGATACATTATAATAGTTGTTGAGTTACTTTATTGATTGGGACGTTTTACTTTCCACTAGGGCTGCACAATTTGGTGAAAAAGTCATATTGCGATTATTGTGGACAACATTGCGATTTAATAAACAAAGTGTAATATACTTGCTTGGTCAGAGAACGGAAAGAGCACAGACAAATGATCATTTTAAAATCTGAATTTCTCAAAGAATCATAAACAAATACACTAACAAACATATCTTAGTAGAGGCTACTGTTTTGAAAATAACTTAGAATTTGACAAAAATAAATAAATACCAAAATATATCTTCTTTGAAAATAAAGGTTTTTTCTGCATACTTTCTGCACTACTATACAGTAAATATAAGAAAACATACACATGTTCATAAAATAAGACATCTGAATGCCAAAACAAATGAGGATGTAACAGAAAAAAGAGCAAGTAATAAAATGGGAACAATAGGAATGCTAAATAAAAGGGATGCCCTAGGTCTTAACCACTTGTGTATTGTACATTATTTTAAGTTGTACTTCCACTGTCATTTAGCCAGATAAAGCCCATGTCTGTCACCCTTGGGTTGAACTAGCACCTGTCACATGTGTTGTGGTGCAACCCAGGTAGCTAACGTTAGCTTTCTGTTTTTATTGCCCCTGACTCACCATGGAACTCAGCCCAGCCGTATCCTCGGACTATATCTATCTCCGAGTCGTCCCCCTCCTCTCTGCTGTGAACTCTTATCAGGACGTACTTAAACACTCCGGAGGGGTCGATGTCTGCCCGCGGGATGTTAGCCATCAGGGCTGCAGCTTTCGTCTGAGAGCACATATCCTGACTGCTCAGAGAGCTCACTAGCAGACTGACAAACAGACACAACGATGGTATTTTTTGAACAAACTCCGTGTCAATATATACAGGGAGCTGGACACCTTCGAAGCACGTTTAAATGTTCTTGTTCAAAATGAAAATGGACCAGCTTCAACTCAATAAAACTGAACACGGTTACTATAGTCTACAGTCACGCTTGTTCCGCCATGCAGTAACAACATCAATAGTTCCGGTTACAGCGCTTTCAAAATAAAAGCCACAAGCAAGTACTGAATACTAAGACTAATTTATTGCAATGTCCGTCCCATTTGTTACATATTATAATTATAATGGTGACTCCGATTGCTGATATTTGAATTTACTAAGTTCATTAAAAAGCACAATATATTACAAATTATATGTATGCAAAACTCCCCGCTTTTATTTTGACTGCATTACGACCTTACCGGAAATTATCGAACTGGCGGCACTCCTGATAAAGCAATGCATTCTGGTAGTTGTAGTCCAAAACAGACAGGAACGATATAATCAAATACAGTAGACAAGTTGTACAAAGGAAAAATATATATGTATTTTGTTATCTCGAGTAAAACAAATATGAAACATACAATGTGACCAAACAGAGACCAATAATGCCATGATAATTAAAAACTCACAATGCGATAATATTAATATTATATTAATATTAACATAACGTTATTTAAATCTTTGTCACAGTTGATTCATCAAACATAAATATGCTAAAAGCCACATCACACCAACTGCAAACATGTTCCCCAGGAGTATCCAAATGTTTCCATCAGTAACAACTCAATATGCCACAAGAATCATTTGGAAGATGCTACAATATGGGGGTACAAACAAAATAAACATGCAGGATCTGAAAAGATTTGGGAAAGTCTCATATTCATAATTCATCTACATGCCAAGAGTTCCCTTTGGCCTTTATGCAGGCACACCTTACATATTGGCATGTTTCAATGTTCCATCATACACTTATTTACAGTGTTTTTTTGGGACATTTAAATAATTTTACCTTAGCCTATAATTCACTAGAGGTGGGCACGCTAAAAGCAAAACAAGTATCTTACATCCAATTCAATAAGGCAGCACTCAAATATTAGTTTTATGGTGCAGAAAACAGAAACTGAACTAATTCATACCTTAAAGGGGCCCTATTATGCTCATTGTGCTGCCGCACCTCTTTACACCCTATGTCTGAAACCAGAGCCCAGTCTGTTCTGATTGGTTAGCTGCTTAGAGCTGTCCCGCCCTTTAGCCTATCACAACAATGTGTTGGAGTGTTAACCAATAGAAGCGGGAGTGTTATATTGTGATGTTGCTATGTTACGGAAGTAAACAAATGAGTCCAATTGCGAATACTATACAACACATTACAGGAAAGGGAAAACCCCAACAAGCATAATAAGGCCCTTTAGGTAAACTCATATAGCTTGAAGCAAACTGGTGAATTCTTGACTACTGTATAAAACAAAGAAATATAAGCATAAGGTCTTTTTTTGGCAGATTAGATGTAAGTGTTGCTCAGTACCTTAATGCCTTTCTGTATTTCAAGCAGGATTGTTGTATTCTAGTTTAATCCAAACTGTATCAGCAACTACTGGTTTCCTTTTATTATATAGTAGACAAAGAAAAAATGTTTTAGATTGAAGAGCTTTTTTCTATCAGTTATCTACTTCCTCCAAATGACACAAGGTTTATGAAACTAAAACTAGTCTAAGTCAACACATATTTGTAATGTGCAAAAGCATGCTCTTGACTTGCGCCAAATAAAATGTGAATTAAAACTGCCACCTTAAAAAAATACATATTTCAATACATATTAATAAATAATTAAATAGTGTTTACTTGCATATTAAACTGGAAGTTCTCTCCACAGTGTGCTACATTTTAATATACCAGCGTCACACTTCTACATGAAAAAGAATCTCATATTTTCAAGAAGAAAATGTCATTCAGACCTCATCTTAGTGTCAGTGCCTCTGCTATACTATACTATATTCTTAAAACCTGACATGTGTTTTCCTTGTGTTTGCTTTATACTCCAGGAAATAACATTTGAAAGGAAAGATTGTGAAGTTAAAGGAGTTGTAGTTGATTAAAAAAAATCAATAATTCATAATAATTGATATCCACTACTGGATATACACAGCCATGCAGTCTCCTGCCCTTTACAGGATGTGGATGATGGGGCACAAATACAAACAATTATATGATTTAAAAACAGTAATTGACCTTCCTTAGGACTCTTTCAAGAACAACATTAAAAAGACATCTTGTGAAATAAGCCTTTTGTCCTGCTGCATTAACCTAAAATCGGGGACTAAGGGTGAGATGAGAAACAGATCCCACCTATTAATGTGATTACCCTTAAATAAACCGCATAGTTTCATTTCAGATCGAATATGTCGGAGTACAGAGCCAACATAAACAAAAACCTACTACTGTCTTGTTGTTATAGTATCTAGATGGTGCCATCACTTCCTCCTTTCTTCTTCCCATTAACAGAACGGAGTAGGATGAAGACCAGGACCCCCACGAGAAGGAGGACGGAGAGGAAGATGAGGGTGGCCCACGCTCCTGGAGTCAGGGCCTTCCTCAGCCCCACTGTCTCTGCCGGCAGTAAACTGCTCAGACTCAGCATGTAGCCCAGAGCCCAGCCCACCGAGGTGTCCCCTGCCTGGAGGATCAGCAAGTGATTACTGCCAGTTAGTAGATAATAGACAAATGAGTATTGAAGATATATCTGTGATCAAATAGTGATTAAGTTCTCACTTTCTTCTGGAAGGTTACACGCGGGAATGACATCTCATCGAAGCCATATCCTCTGAACATGAGAGTCTTAACGAACACAGAGCTGGCACAGTTGTCCTGCAAACGAGACCTTTGCTTCGGGTCAAGAAGCAGCAGCTGGAAGAAAACAATTAAACAGTGTAAGCAAGTTGTGGAATAAAATACATGAACTAGAAAGTGGAGTTGAATCTCACTCATTTGTCCCTTCCAGCCCCCTTACAGTCAAAATAGCAGCAAACCAGGTTTTGTTTCTATTCAACTAATTCAATATTAATATATACAGTCAAGGTACAAAAGTAAAAAGTGAGTTAATGCGGGAGGGATGAAAGCATTGCTTATAAAAAGATAGCTCACTTTATGATAAATTAGTTTAAATGCAATCATGTACAGGGGATAACATAATAATACAATACCAGAAAGTAGTATACAGTTCACAATACAAAAACTATAACTTTATATTACAGTACATGTTACTTGTTAGACACTTTTATCCAAAGCGACTTACATACTCAATACTGTGGGCAATCCCCACAGGAGCAATTTGGGGTGAAGTGTCTTGCCCAGGGACACAACGGCATGCTGACTGCAGTGGGGTTTGAACCCCCTGATCCGAACACCTACGGATAACCCACTATGCCACACGCCTCCACTATATTATTATATAAACTTAAAGATGAAACAAACAAACATTCAATAATATAGATTTCCCCAAAATTGTGAATCACCGCAACCATGACAGGTCTTTGAGCATACAGTAATAAATGAGCACATAACGTTTTAGGTCGATTTTTTAGATGTTAACTGTTAGAGAATATTTCTGTCTTACTCCGAAGTGTCAAAGAATAATTCTTCCTTACTCCTAAGATATTTAACCTTTCTGCCTGTTGACATTTATGACGAACCCTAAGTCTGTTATCTGTCTTAAGGAATGGGAAGTCTCAGCTATTGTTGACATTACCAGTTTTATGACCGGTCAACTCTCGGTCACAGAGCCAAAGAGTCAGATAAGTGATTCAGTGTCTCCAGGTGTTCACGTATACCTTCCCCTAATATGTGGGTTGACTCTCTGTAAACTAGTTAAAAGATCTACCAAGATGCAAGGCTGATCAGATTTGACATGGCAAACCACCCGTGCAGTCAGAACCTTTGACTGTGTGACTTGTGATGTGAATTTCTCCGGCCGATGCTTGTATTAAATCTCAGTGTTTGACATCAGAACTCCTGCTCGTCCCGTGTCTCCTTCATGAGTCGGTGACTCCCACTGCATTACTACACAAAAGTTTCCTCCACATTAACTATAGTCAATGTATTTAAAGCAGAGTGTACTGCTCACAGCTCGTTAGGCTTTGCACAGTGGTGCTTTGAGATAAGTGCTACTTGGAGCATGCTAAACAGATGCTCAAACACTAATTTAGGTGTGAGCATGCTTCTATTGCTAATTAGCACTGAAAATAAAGTAGCCTACACATCAAGCTGATTGAAGTCGTAATAGTTTTTTATGTATTGGCTATAAACCACACATGAACTAATACATGCCAAGACAACAATTATATATTATGAACAAATGAATTGAACATAAGTAGAAAGGACCATTACTTGATTGAAAGTCATGCCGCACTGAGTTTCCGCCGCGTTCTCCAGTTGTGAAGGAGTTTGTGCGGTGACGCCGGTGGTACGCTGCAGCGAGAGGTGAACGTAGTAGAAAGCAGAGAACGCCTGGTGCACAGAGAGAAAAATACAACAATCAAACTGGGGTAACACATAGTACATAGAAAACATTTTTACCTAGGAGAGAAATAATGGCGCATAATAGGTTCTTATTAGAACATTGAGGCATTGTACTTGTTCTTCTATGAAAATGTCATGCAATTATTGTGATCAATACTGCTATTGAGTTACAGTAATTCAAATACAATCACAAGGCTGGTTATGCTTATAAATAAACATGTCATTCGAGAGGCCTGTACTCCACTTGCGTATTGTTGTATATTTGTTATTTGATACACAACACTTTATTTAGTAGTTTTACTGTGGTTTGTTTTTTCAATTTTATTTTATTATTTGCAAATACATTTACCTGAGTGTATTTCCGCTTTAATAAAATATTTTTATATAATGGTATTGCCTAATTTACTGATTTATGGTCATCAAAATCAGAATCTGGTTTATTGCCAAATATTGTTTTTATAGACCTACAATGAATTTCCTTTAGTTTTTCATTATAAAAATAGCAAAAAATGTACCAAAAAAAATTGCTGATCCATATGAAAGGTCATATATCGTTTTTTTGTGTGCAATGTGGTTATTAGGGCTATGTTTATCATATTGGCTGTCTGTGTTTCAAAAGATGTCAAAGAGGAAAAAAGATGACAGCTCAGTGTCATCTTCTCCCTCCAGCCTCT